GCTGCTCTCTCTGACCTCTCCCTTCTGCCTCTCTCTCGCGCTCTCCTCCTTTTTCATGACACTGTCTTCAACGCTGCCCTCCGCTCTATTCCTCGCTCTTCCTCTCGGGGTCCGCGGAAGTGCGTTCCCTGGTGGAATGCAGACTGTGCTCGGGCTGTCCGCTGTAAGCGTGCAGCCTGGAAGAGGCACCGCCGTAGGCAGACGACCGATTCTTTTCTTTTCTTTCGGAAAGCGAGTGCGGTGGCCCGTAGGGCCATCCGTACGGCTAAACGTGAATGTTGGGCATCTTATGTCTCAACAATTACGTCCGAAACCCCTCTGGCCCAGATCTGGAAGCGTATCCGCAAGATAGCGGGTAAGTTCGTTCCCGATGTTTCACCGGTCCTTCACCTCCATGATACTCTTGTGGCGGACCCGTTGCAGGTCGCTTCCGAACTGGGTTCCCACTTTTCTTCTGTTAGCTCTGGTCTTCATCTTCCCCAATCTTTCCTTCTTCGTAAACCTGTCCTTGAGTCTCGTCCTTTAGATTTCTGCACTCATCTTCAGCTTCCCTATAATGATCCCTTCTCTCTCTCTGAACTTCGTTCTGCCCTGGCCCTCTGCGGTTCTACGGCGGCGGGCTCTGATGGTATTCATTATGAGATGCTTCGCCATCTCCCTCCGAGCACGTCTCAGTATTTACTGAGTCTGTATAATCGGATCTGGGAGTCGTCGTCAGTCCCTGAGGACTGGCTCGATGCCGTTGCCCTCCCTGTTCGCAAACCGGGGTCTCTGGGTACTTCCCCTAAGGACTTTCGCCCTATTGCTCTCACCAGTTGTGTCTGCAAACTCTTTGAACGTATGGTTAACGTTCGTCTGATGTGGTTCCTGGAACACCATCACCTCCTCTCCCCTTCTCAATTTGGTTTCCGCAAGTGCCGCAGCACGACAGATGTCCTGGTGAACTTGGAGGTATATATTCGTACTGCTTTTGCTGCGAAGACCTCCGTTGTTGCCGTCCTTTTTGACCTGGAAAAGGCTTACGACACCGCTTGGCGTTATCATATCCTATCTCAACTTCATTCTTTTGGCCTTCGTGGTCATCTCCCTCTCTTTCTCCGCAGCTTCCTCTCTCGTCGTTCCTTTCGGGTGCGCCTTGGTACCGCTCTCTCTCCCTCTTTTCAGCAATACGAAGGTGTGCCCCAGGGTAGTGTTCTGAGCACTACTCTTTTTCTGGTTGCCCTCAATGGTCTTCTTTCCTCTCTTCCTTCTGGTGTCTTCTCCGCTCTCTATGTCGATGATCTTACCCTTTGTTGTCAGGGTGATGATTCGCCTCTCCTTCAACGCCGGCTTCAACTTGCAATTGATGCCGTGTCGTCTTGGGCCACAGATCATGGCTTCAAGTTCTCTACTTCTAAGACTTGTGCCATGACTTTTAAGCGGAAACGGGTTGTTCTTCGTCCCTCTTTGTCACTTTATGGTCATCCCCATGAATACAGAGATTCCGCGAAGCTTTTGGGGTTATTCCTTGACACTCGTTTGTCTTGGTCTCCCCTTATCTCTTACCTCCGTGTTGAGTGCTCTAAGGCCCTTACCCTCCTTCGGGTCTTGTCCCATACTTCTTGGGGGGCAGATAGGCGCACTCTCCTTGCTTTACATTCCTCTCTCGTCCTGTCTAAGCTCGATTATGGTTGCCCTGCTTACTCGTCTGCTTCTCCGTCTACTCTTCGCCGTCTTGATGCTTTGCACCATACTGGGTTGCGCCTCAGTTCTGGTGCCTTTCGTTCGACTCCCATCCTTAGCTTGTATGTTGACACTGGCTTCCTGTCTCTCCAGGACCGCCGTGATCGCTACTGTCTTCGCTATCTTGCGCGGTCCTTGCAACATCCTTCCTCTCGCCTCTGTCGTGCTTTAATTTTTACCCCTCCTGCAGTTCCTGTTCCTCTTCACCACCTCCCTCTTTCTGTCCGGTTCTCTCGCCTACAGGATTCTCTTTCCGTTCGTATTTCTGATGTTTCTCCTCGTGTTGTTCCTTCTTTGCCCCCGTGGAGGGTCCCTCTTCCGCGGTTTTGTACATCCTTGACCCGTATCACTAAAGCTTTTACCCCTCCTACGGTTCTAAAACGCCTTTTCCTCGAGCACTTTTCTTCTCACTCCCGCTCCGTTTCTGTCTTCACCGATGGGTCTGAGTCAGCGGGCGGTGTTGGCTACTCTGTTGTTTTTCCTGATCGCACTTATATGTGTCGCTTGCCTCCGGAGACTAGCATCTTTACAGCGGAACTTTATGCTATTCTCTATGCTCTTCGTCTCCTGCTTTCTCATTGTCAGTCTTCCTTTGTAGTTGTTGTTGACTCTCGTAGTGCCCTCATGGCTCTCGGGTCCTTTAATCCGGTTCATCCAGTAGTTGTCGAGATCCAGCATTGGCTGTTTCTCGTTCACAGTAAATTTAAGTCGGTTGAGTTTTGTTGGGTTCCCAGCCATATTGGTGTGTCTTTAAATGAGCGTGCGGATGCTGCCGCCAAGGAAGCTGTCCGCTCTTGTCCCATCTCTCATAAAGGCATTCCGTATTCCGACTTTTACCCGGTTATCCATTCCTCAGTCCTTACCCGTTGGCAGACTTCTTGGTTGTCTGTTACTGGTAACAAGCTACGTACTCTTAAATGTTGTGTTTCCTCGTGGCCGTCCTCCTTCCACCGTAACCGGAGGTGGGAAACAGCTCTGGCGAGGTTGCGTATTGGCCATACTCGCTTAACCCATGGTCACTTGATGGAGCGCCGCCCTGCTCCTTATTGTCCTAGTTGCATTGTCCCTCTTACGGTCGTGCATGTCCTTCTTGAATGTCCTGACTTCCAGGACGAGCGTGTGTTTTGCTTTCCGACCGCCCCTCGCGGTCACCTGTCCCTCGATAGACTTCTTGGTGACTCGGATACTTTTGATATCGTTCGCCTTATGCGTTTTTGTTCTCGTATTGGCATCCTTGGTGATATTTAGCGCCCTCTGATTATTTTGCGTATTTGATGGTGCTACATAGCCTTCCCGGTTTGGTTCCTTCTTTTGATAATTACTTACTTACTTCCGTCTCCTCTTTCATTTTTTGTCTATATTCCCTTCTGTGTTTATTTGTATAATCCTTTTGCATTATCGTAATCTTATTGCTTTCTCTTCTGGCTCTAGTTTATTCTTTCTCTCATTTTTCCTTTGGCGTTACCATGGTCGTGTTCAGTCCGATAGTCAGCTGTTTCCATCTTGGCGACTCATTGTTGCCAACACTCCCGACACCTCCCCGGTCCAGGCTGAACCACCAGTAGTTCGTGAATTGTAAACTCCCTCGTTACGTGTTCGCGTTGGAAAATAAATCCTCGGCTACTGCTTCTATCACGTCTGTGTGTGTGTGCTCACGTAATTGTGCTTGCGGGGGTTGAGCTCTGGCTCTTTGGTCCCGCCTCTCAACCGTCAATCAACAGGTGTGTGTGTGTCGCCCACACAATTTTATCAGGGTCAGTACTGGGCCATTAAAGTTCTGAATGCCAACACGACTTCGGAGAACAGTATACATAAAAAGTTTGTGTGTCAGATATAAAAGCAAATATTTGGTACGCGGACCGTTGAACTCCGCCTTCATCACGCGGAGAAAATCATTCATAGAACACGGTACCGCTAGACGGCATAATGGGATACTATTTTATAATACACGAATCTTTCGAGCTTGATGTGGTCTTGGAGTAAACAGATTTCATAGAATTTAATGTCCTACTACCGATTTAACCCAAAATACATTTCATACAATGATAGAGCATCTGTTGTCACGCCATGTGACCTTTTGAATAATTTATTACAATATCCCTGAAATATAGCCACACGAAGTAAAGGTTCACCGAAGTGATTTGTCTTGGATAAGGTATGCCTTGTTAATTATGGCTTTTCCGATGTAGGTAAAGATGTTAAATTATTTAGGAATCGTTACTGAATTTGCTTTTCAAGTATTTATCATTATCATGCATTTAAGATTGTGTTTCTACAGTGATCGGCAAACTCTGATAGATTAAACATATGTATATGCGATTAAATAAGTAATATATAATTATGAGAATATTTACACGGAGACCGCCCTGAGAGACTATAACTATCTGACTCCTTAAAACTAGGACTGACAGAAGAGCAATCTCTGGACAATAGGACTAACATAAGAACAATCTCGACAACAGGGCTGACAGAAGAACAATCTCTGGACAGAAGAACAATCTCTGGACAACAGGGCTGACAGAAGAACAATCTCTGGACAACAGCAGCAACAACACAAATCTTGAACAATGTCTTAATGAACGACTTGTTATCAATGAGTTTGTCCAGGCGGTGATCATCAGTTTTCAGAGTGGTTTCGTGTTCAGTGACGTTCACACAGGTGATGTTTAATATTAACATCAAGTTAATAGCATGATGTCCCTCACGTTCACCATACTAATCACGTTCATCAATTTGTCTTGTCCCATCATGTTGACGAGGTGAGTTGATGGCCCTGGTGAGGGTGGGGACGCTAGTGAGTGCACTAAGCTGTTGACCAGACCACACACTAGAAAGTGATGAGACGACGACGTTTGGGTCCGTCCTGGACCATTCTCCGCGAGAAGAACAATCCCTGGACTGAGAGATTATATTTAAGAGATATAATCGACTTGAGAATGGTCCAGGACGGACCGAAACGTCGTCGTATCTTCACTTTCTAGTGTGTGGTCTGGTCAACATACTTCAGTCAGGTTAACATAAGAACAAAGGTAGCTGCAGAAGGCCTATTGGCCCATACGAGGAAGCTCCTATCTATAACCATCCAATCCCACTCATATGCTTGTCCAACCCGCGCTTGAAACAATCGAGGGACCCCACCTCCACCACGTTACGCGGCAATTTGTTCCACAAATCAACAACCCTGTTACTGAACCAGTATTTTCCCAAGTCTTTCCTAAATCTAAATCTAAATGACTCCTCGTCTGCACATGTTATTGTACTCCGTGTGTGTGTTGCAGAGAGCAAGGTGTGAACGTGGACAACTCCCGGAAGTCATCCAAGCTGTACGTGTCATCAGTATCCAGGAGAGACGAGGGTAACTACACCTGTTTACCTTCCAACGCTGCCCCGGCCTCTGTCGTAGTCACCGTCATCCAAAGTGAGTTTACATCGCCATATCTGTCATCCAAGAGTCTGTATATCTGTCTCTTGCTAGTGGTGTGTGTGTGTGTGTGGTTGGCATATTTAGCAGTAATAATAAAGCTATGCCTTATATGTGTGCATATTGTTTATATAGACTGCCTTGTACCGCTGTAAGGGAAATGAAACCAGTCGTGGCAGGATTATTAGAATACACAAATTCAGAACCATCCGACTGGGGCACTAACCGACTATGCAACATTACACTTCCAGAGGAAAATCCCGCCGGACTACAGCAGGAGACGAACACGGAAAAGGAGGCATCTTCGGCGTCATCGTCTTCGTCGTCGTCGTCGTCCTCATCCTCGTCAGCCGCGTCATCCTCGTCAGTGTCGGCGTCAAACAGCAGCAGCAGCGGGGCGGGAGGAAGCCCTGCACCTCTGCCGCCGCCATGTTTCCTTCTGCTGCTGCCTTTGTCGCTCCCTTCCCTACTGCCCCTTATCCTTAACACCACCACCCGCCACCTCTTTAGATGATGAGACAATAACCCGGCAGGAACAGGCTGATAGATCACCAGTTGGATAGCTCAGTGCTGCTCTCTTACATATCTTCTGGGTAAGAGAGGGAGGAAGGGCCCGTTGTCAGGTCGCTGCAAGACTAACAATAACGGCTGGACGCCTCTCGCTCAACTAACGAACGCTCGTAATATCTCGTTCCCTTTAAGAGGTATAAAAGTGAAAAATCACTGAAAAAGACACTACTGTGTTTATCAATGCACTGATATATTGTACATTCTAATAGAGCCAAAAAAAAACAAAAAACGAGAGTTCTATACTTTATATCCATAGTTAATGTATAAACAAATGTATTTTCTTGTGTACAGATGTGATGGTGCGTTACAATATCTAGTTTTTTCACGTTACTGGTGACAATCCCTGACTATGTAAGCCTGGCAAGTTCTCAGATGCACGTCACATTTCCTACTGAAACTGGAGATGCCGTCTTGTCTGAACAAGAAATAACGTCAAAGTTCCCCCTCACTTCTCTCTTGGAGTGTCATAACCAGATACGTTTTCTATTGCAGTTCAGAGAGAACGACTTGGCGTTCCTGATCCCGGGTTCTGTTATATTACTGTGTGTTCCTATCAGTGTACATATATATACATAAATATATATATATATACATACATGTATATCATAATTATCCATCAGCTGTGTCATAGACGGTTCTATGTATACCTCTTCCTGTCAAAATGATTGTTTTGTATATAAGCGAGTGCCCCTTCCCAGTTATTTGTGGTGTCTAGGCAATGTTTTCATGTTGAGGTGAAAGAGGATGAGTGTTTAGTATATATTGACGATCACGCAAGTGCTCACTGGGTTACGGGCTCACCATAGCCCGTGCTACATGGACACCACTTCGTTCTGAGTAGCTAAATCTGAAACGACAAGTGCTCATTCCATATCTCATTCCACCACCAATAGGCTGCTGGTGCGCCAAATACCACCAATCCAAAAATACAAAAAATTGAATTACCTAAATCAAATACAAATTTTCTGGTTTGCCATCAATTTCCAAACTTGTGAATAATTTGTGGAATAGAATATATCTATTCCAGAAATGTCATCCACATTTAACCTCATAATGATTTGATTTTGGAGTTACTTGAATGTCCTGATTTATATAATTATCTGGTTCATAATTTAACTTTCAATTGAGTGATTTAATTGATGCATTGTAAATTATCAGACTTGAAGTCAAATCACCATATTGATGCATAGACAAGCAGATTCACCCGGCAATTACCTGATTGACCCCTATTGACCTCTTCAGTGCGTAATGAATGATACTGTTCCGTTAATTACTAGCTGTACAACATTTTATTCATTATTCAGAGTAAATTATCACTCTCAACAAATCTTGATATGACAGAATTAGTTAACTTCATTATTATTAAACATGTGACCAATTAATTGGTAAATTTTATTGAAAGAGCTAATACACACACTTGTAATTATTCCTTAATTGCTCACGTGTAAATATTTGTCCCAACTCTCACATATTTACCTCTATGTACATGTTGCAGCTGCATGTGGCTGTGTGTACATGCTGCAGCTGTATGTGGCTGTGTGTACATGTTGCAGCTGTATGTGGCTGTGTGTACATGTTGCAGCTGTATGTGGCTGTGTGTACATGTTGCAGCTGTATGTGGCTGTGTGCACATGTTGCAGCTGTATGTGGCTGTGTGTACATGTTGCAGCTGCATGTGGCTGTGTGTACATGTTGCAGCTGCATGTGCATCTGTGTGTACATGTTGCAGCTGCATGTGGCTGTGTGTACATGTTGCAGCTGCATGTGGCTGTGTGTACAGGTTGCAGCTGCATGTGCATCTGTGTGTACATGTTGCAGCTGCATGTGGCTGTGTGTACATGTTGCAGCTGCATGTGGCTGTGTGTACATGTTGCAGCTGCATGTGGCTGTGTGTACAGGTTGCAGCTGCATGTGCATCTGTGTGTACATGTTGCAGCTGCATGTGGCTGTGTGTACATGTTGCAGCTGCATGTGGCTGTGTGTACAGGTTGCAGCTGCATGTACATCTGTGTACAGGTTGCAGCTGCATGTGCATCTGTGTACCTGCTGCAGCTGCATATATTGAGTGCTCGTTTTCCCTATATCAACATTACAAGACCTGCTCTTTTCACATCACTGCAGGTGTTTTAAATAAGGTAACTGATGGGAGGGTGTTTTAATCCACTTGTATTACCAAGGTGACCAACTATTACCAACATACAACTATTTGGATGAATAACAAGACCTGAAGCTGTTCAGAGAACCTGTTAGTACGGGACTAATGACTGCCTTTCATGTTAACAAAAATAAAATCAATAATTGTACATATGAGGCAAGTACTTTTGAGTATAATTACGCTGGTGTATGAAGACTTGAGTATGCCTGTGTGTGTGTATAGAGTATAATTGTAAGTGAGCACATTCGTCAAGTTCTTGCAAGTGTGTATGATTGACCTGGATTTTATGCATAGAATATATTCCCAATATGAGGTGGAAGAGGTATACAGATATTGTATGCGGCTTAATAGTATACCTGTATGTGTGTGTATAGTATACGTGAGTGCGAGTTAGTATGAGTAAACTTGTGAACAGGAAAACATTGACGCTATATAATTTATACTTTGATGTGATGTTCTGTGAAATTAAACCAAACAGAGAGAGAGAGAGAGAAACCTTTTACACTGTAAAGCTGCAACAAGTATTTTGTCTTGGGGGGAGAATTAAGACAGTTTCTGCAATAAAGAGGACAGACTGACCACACACAAGTCCTTTTATTTACCTCCTCCTGCACACGCACCTCGTGAACACGCCTCAGCTGGCTGTTGTGTTCTGATTACGCTGTAATACTGTAAAAAAAAGATTTGACACTTTTTTTAAGTCCTTCAGTGAATATTATACACCAGAACATATGCTAGCATCATAATTCTGTTACTTCGTTAAACTGAGGTGTCATAAGATATTGGGGGATTCTCCACGAATCCCTTGTACATTGTACGGAAGATCAGCTGTTAAGATGGTCATAATTACATAAAAATAACATTTGGAAAACGACAGTGTTAACAGATATCGGTGAAACTATCACGGCCGCAAAATGTGAATTTGAAAACGGGTAAATCACAGGAAATATAAGACCATTAAGAGTTTAGTATCAACGTTCATATTTCACTCTTGCTACAAACACATAGTTGATCATAATATTAGAGAAGGTTCTGTTGTAATGTGTCGATACTTAGTGGTTCTGGCAACATAATAAACAATGGAGCTCGATCCTCATTGCTGTCTTCTGTCAAGCTTACTGGTTGAGCTGCACCTGTCAATCATACGCCCTCAGCTGCACCTGACAATCATTCGCCTTCAGGTACACCTGTCAGCTTGTGTCCGAGGAGTGCGGTCAGTATTGACTACCAAACAACTGTCTAAAGTTAGGAGTAATGAAATGTTTGGTCGATAAAGGGTTGACGAAGGTGGTGATCATACATTACACTTACTGAGAGCAACTCTCTCAGAACAATGCTTATTTCACGTAAATTCATTAATAAACACATATGTTTTATATGTCTCAAGAAAGATAGAAATATAAGCTTCATTTTAAATACTTTAACATAGACATATATAAAACTCAAGTGAAGATACATACGTTTTTATAGTGGCATTCAGTAGCTTGTCGGTCATGGAATGCAGAAGCCTACGCACTTGCCAATATAGTGTGTAATCAACAAAGATACGCTTATAAAGCCTAAAATATTATATGCCTTCAGAAAGACAGAGATATGCTCGTTATTGTGAGTGCACCAAAGGAAATATATCTTGTTGGAGGACAAAGATATATCAATTCTAAAATAAGTTTCGACTCTCGCTCGGGCGAGAGATAGCGCGACTCTCGCCCCATCTATTGGAGATTCTGTTCACCTAATGACCCAAAGCTACTCAAAGCCTCCTAGCATTACTTAAATAATGAAGAAATATGATATATTTATTCACTATAATGTTGGTGCTTAATGCAGAACACGAGAAAACATATATTTACTATAAAATAATATACTTCCATTATGAAATAAGTAAATATGTGGCCTCATAGGAAGTCAACGGTCCAGGTGTCAATGTTGTGGAGCGACTTATCCAAGATATATTGTTGTCTGGAAAGTGTTGGCATATCAACCTTCTATCCACAGTGATCCAGTCGTCGCACTTCTCTCCTTAAATGATCGCAAATTTAGTTTATTATATTAACAAGTAGAATACGTATTTCTAATAATGTCTAACATAACTAGCCAGAAAATATTTAAGACTTATTGAAAAATACATGTCTGGAAGTTAAATCGACTTCATAGAACAATTGTGTTGGTCTATACTAATCGTTATTCGTTAGTATGCGTTCGCTACTTAAAACATTTACTGTACTGATGTAAAATCTCCCATGTCTCTTCGCACATGGAACACCGAACCTTACACACTCTCTGATATATTGTTTAATTAATAGAGATTCACTAATAAAGCTTATAATTGTATGTTATCAAAAAGGCATAGATAAAGTCGTTCTTACGTTTTAGTCACAGAGATTAGATATTAGTAAAGTAAAGTTCATTTTATTCAGGAAAGTACATAAATAGTCGATTTACAAACATAATATTGGATTTATAGATAGAGCTAGTACATACAATACCTAAAGCCACTAGTACGCATAGCGTTTCGGGCATATTATTGAGAGAGGAAAGATACAGTATTTATATTTATTTTTTTTTTTTTTACCGACGCTCTCCCTATTGATGAGAACTACAACCTAATGAAGATAAATGTTAATTTTATGTAGATACTGTAATAAACGAAAGTTTTTAATGTCATCAGAGAAGCAGAAATATAGGCAAATTTTAAATCCCTTGTCATAAATATAACTGAAGTGAAAGCAAAGATATATGCATTTTGATAGTTACAAAGACAGCTCTTTAACACGGGTGGAACACGAACAAGGGGAACTTAGTACCCAAATGAGCCACAGAGATATTAGAAAGAATTTTTTCAGTGTCAGAGTAGTTAACAAATGGAATGTATTAAGCAGTGATGTGGTGGAGGCTGACTCCATACACAATTTCAAATGTAGATGTGATAGAGCCCAATAGGCTCAGGAACCTGTACACCTGTTGATTGACGGTTGAGAGTCGGGACCAAAGAAGCAAAGCTCAACCCCTGCAAGCACAAATTAGGTGAGTACAACTAGGTGAATACAGATGAGGGGCGGGACCAAACAGCTGAAGCTCAATTCCCTACGCATAACTAGGCGAGTCCATAGGAATTACCGTTTGTCTTGGCGCCATCTATGTTTTGACAGCAGTACTACTAATGTTCCCACGTTATGTGATGATCGCTATACGGGTGTTATGGTCAGTTGCTCTTCTATATATGTTTATGGACAACGTAGGTGATTTGAGGCAATTTGCGGCCAGAGTGAAATAGTATCCACGCGGTGAGTGATGGAGGAGGATATATACTGCTGTGTACTCGACCAGCGGGTGAGAGGTAAGTTATGTCGAACAATTATGGGGAATAGATGGGTTATTTTAAGCGTAGAATGTCAGGTAACCAGTAACTACACGGATGGGGTAGTGTTTTTTTAAGTCTTTATTTACTGAAGTGGAACATTACATTATGCCTTTAGCTGAACAAGTCTACTGGTGGGGGAAGTAGACGGGTTTTATGAAAGTATTTTACCTAAATATTTGTATTTGGTTAAGTAGTTCAGCCGTTACCAGGGAGGGTGTTCCTTTAATCTAATCTAAAAATTCTAGCCGGACAGTGATTAAATAAAGAAATTGAATAGAACGAAGTGGTTTGCCAGGGTGCTTAACATTTAGTTTAGTTCACTTACTATGCAGCCCATGCTTAAAGAATGCAAGTTTATCATATTGTATTTACTGCATTTAATATACCGTTTGTACCCTATTTAATTGTCGGGTAAAGGCCGGTCGTGGAAAGTTCCTAATATAGCAAGTTTTAAAGGAAAAGTTTGACTTAACTTTAACGATTAAGTTAGTGACCAATTAGCTTAGTCCATTGTGAGGAAAGTTACTAGAATCTAACATTGCAAGTGCCATTTCTCTACTCTTTTTGAGAAACATGACAAGATACATGAATCGCATAGTTTTATTACTAAATGTTCATGGATTAGGTTGCATAGTTGAGGAAATGGTGATAAGGTTTGTGATTTTGTATTCCTTGACTTCAGCAGAGATTTTGAGTGGCGCAAAATTGATAGGGGCTCGGATCATTGGGAATGCTGATTGAAGTTGATTTGGTCATGGCTATACCAAAGGAAATTAGTATAAATGGGGTTAAGTTGGAAGAAGTGTTGTAAGTAGTGCCTAAAAGCTCTCCTTGGACCTCGGTTATTCGCAAGATTATGGTTTAGACTGCAATAGTTGCAGAATTGGCAAATAAAAAAATACCGATGCCCTATATAGTTTTGAAATGGTTAAGACTACCAGATGCAGTTTAATGCTGACAAATGTAAGGTTTGGGGGCTAGGTAAAGATGAGATAGATGTTGTAGATTGTTAAGAGTATTAAATTTTTTTTGCAGGTGGTAAATTCTCCCCGAGCTGGCACTGCTCTCCAGCCTGGGATGTTGATTGGTTAGTCTTCAACTGCCTCCCAACATGGTAGTGAGGTCCTGAGCTGACATGCAGTGAGGAACGTGGAAAGCTTCCTGAATTGGCACATGGTATGCCTCCCTTTCAAACCAGCAGCTGGCACAAATGTTCCAGCTAACATCAGAATAGTGGATGAAGCCCAAACTAAAATGTAAGTGGTACAGTAAATGAACACCCCCCCTCCCTTTTGACACTGAACAGTTGGGAGGAAAGGGGGGGGGGGGGGGGGAGAAAGTGTGGCTGTTAAACTGGTGGTACAGGTATGAACAAAATAACTTCGCTATGCAAATAACTTTTTAGTAATATTTACTGTTCACATGACAGGTTGTGGAAGGTCCTGGCAACAAAGAGCTGCAGGAAAATACTTTCAGATCTACAGTAAGTAGTGTTGTGTACATTGGAATTAGACGGTAGAAGTCAATTGCTAAAAACCTATTAAATATTAGGGTATGGAAGTCTAGGCTCAGGCTAGTGGGTACCATATCTGCAAGTTTAGTCCTTTCAGGAATGTATTGAATAGAATGGTATGTTGAAATAGTGAAAATTGTAATGTGGGGCATTAGATCTTAAACAGCATAGTAGAGGGTGTTCTAATAATTTTAATGAAATATAAATCTTGTTTAGTTAACATTAAATGTTTGTTAAATAAGCTTTAATCTATATATGTATAACTGTTAAGGGTAATCATGAGTCAAAGTTAATGGCAGGAAAAGTTTTGCTTAAGTGATGGTATTTTTCCCTTGAAAGTAAAAAAAAAATATTCAATGTTTACTTTAGCTTGGTTTTAAATTTATATAGTTTTCCAGAATGTGATTTGGAAAGTCCAGAAGTCCCTCTGTCAGTTGGATAAACAGAATCAGGTGAGTTGTAATAAGGGTTAACCTGAATAGATTTGCATAAAAGTAAAAAAAATAGTAATAACTTAAAACAATATAGCATTGGCTAAAGATAAATGTAAATTGCCATTGAAGTGCAGTTGTGGATCATTTCTCAAATGACATTTACTGAAACTTGGCAAATTGATGCCATATATATTTATATTGCTAAAGTAGATCTACAACTTTACTACTTCTAGAATATGTAGGTAAGGTAAATTCCTTAAAGAAATTTTTCCATC